TGTCTTGTTGGTGCTTGAGATGCTTTTTTAAGTTATATGGAAAAATGTTTAAGTGCTTTTCAGTTTTGTTTTGGTTGAGTTCTACTGTATTTGAATATTATTGTTTTTTTCCCCTTGCATTGTTCTTCTTTGAATGGTTTTAATTTTTGTATGTGTATGTGTTTGATAATAGAGTTATTTTTAAAAATAAAACTAATAAAACTGCCACACACATACCCAAAAAAATCAAATGGTCCACAAAGCATTCTCCTCTCCTTCTGAGGATTTTACGCTGCAATTTCATCACTAACCAGTCTTTCACTATTAAACCTAAATGGCCAATTGGCAGACACAGTTCTGAGACCAGTCTTCTGCCTCTGATTAAGACTGGAGTGGCAGGTGTTAGGAATAATACTCATTTAGCCTTCTGAGCTTCTGGGCAGACATGGTGACCTGGCCAGCGCCAGCAGCCTTCTTGTCCACTGCATTGATAACACCAACAGCAACTGCCCGTCTCATATCACGAACACCAAAAGGACCCAGAGGAGGAGAATCAGAGAAGCTCCTGACATACATGGGCTTACCTGGATGGCAGCATCACCAGATTTCAAGAATTTGGGGCTATCTTCCAGCTTCTTACCAGACCAGTGAGCAATCTTATCTTTCAGCTCAGCAAACTTGCAAGGGATGTGAGCTGTATGACAACCCAGCATGGGGTACAACCAGCACTGATCTGGCCTGGGTGGTTCAGGATAATCCTGAGCAATGAAACTAGCTGCTTCCATGGGCTGGTCTTTTTTGCTGTCACAGCAACATTGCCACAACAAGCATCCCCAGGAAGAGCTTCCCTCAAAGTTTCATGCTGCATTTCAACAGACTTTACTTCAGTTGTGACAGTGACTGGAGCAAAGATGGCCACCATGCCAGGTTTAAGAACACTAATCTCCACCAAGTTCACCAAGATGGTACCAATGCCACCAATTTTATAGATATCCTGGAGAGGCAGCCACAAAGGCTTGTCAGTTGGGTGAGTGGGTGGTAGGATGCAATCCAAAGCTTCAAGCAGTGTGATTCCACTACCATTGCCATCTTTATGAGTGACCTTCATGTTGTCATCATTCAAACCAGAAATTGGCACAAAAGCTACTATCATGGTTGTAGCCAATTTTATTAATGTAGATGCTGACTTCCTTAATGATTTCCTGGTATCTCTTCTAGCCATAAGGTGGCTCAGGGAAATCCATTTTGTTAACACCAACAATGAGTTGTTTCACACCCAGTGTGTAAGTCAGAAGGGCATGCCCCCCCTGGTTTGCCCATTCTTGGAGATAGCAGCTTCTAATTCACCAACACCAGCAGCAACAAGCAGGAGAGCAGTTGGCCTGACATATGCCTGTAGTCATGTATTTGATAAAGTCTGTGTCCTGGGGCATCACTGATAGTCAAATAATACTTGCTGGTCTCCGATTTCCACAAGATGTCAATGGTGAATCAGTGTACACCCTTATATCTGAGATGTCTTCCTCCACTCTTCTTGCAACTTTTTTTAAAGACTCAGTCTGTTATGTGAATTTATCCTTGATTATGATTTTCCCTACATACATAGGTGTCTCTTTCTTTGGGGTTACTTTAGTATTTTTATCAATGTTTCTTCTGTATCTTTACCACCTGAACTACAAACATTTCTTTATTAACCGATTTGCTCCTGAACTGGGATGGGATAATCTTTGAAATCGTTATGTATACACAGTCTTTCTTCATCTTAATCTATAATTATTTATTGAATTCTTGCTAAGTACTAGGCACTGGGGTTTAAAAGAGTACAAGTAAAAGGTATCATGGATGGCTTTTCCAGAAGTAATACCTGAGCTCAGAATTAGAATGAGGTTGGCCACACAGAGGTCAGGAAAGTGAGACAGTACAAAAGGCAGGAGCAAGAGGGCAAAAATATATGAAATGGAGGTAGTACTTGTCTAAAAATAGAGGGAGTGTAAAGGAAAATAGTCACTAGCTGTTAGTAAACCCAGAGATTGATGGGGGCAGACAAAGGTCAGGGCTGAAGATGGAGAATAAGTCAGATCATGGAAGCCTATAGGTAACTTTAAGATGCTTGGACATTAATGCTTTGAAGAGGGGCTCATGGTCAGATTTGTTTTGGAGATTAATCCCTCTAAACAGTGACAAGGATGAACGTGAGGGCCATATGAATAAAGGGAGGGAGAGCAATGGAAGGAAACAGTCCAAATAAACCTAGTGCAGGCCTGAGCCTCTTCAAGTTCCACAAATACCGCTTCCAGAAATATTTCAGGTATGAAATTATGAGTCCCCGCTGTAGAGTGAAGTTTTATTAAATGAATAAATGTATAAATCTGGGTCCCTGGAGAAACAGACTCTGCTCGTTACTTTTCAAAAGGGATCAAATGAGAGGTGAAATCAACTACTTGAATTTAAGTCGCTTGAGTTTACTTAGTAGTTCTTGCTTCACCACCTTTTCCTAAGTCGATGGAACTCATTTAAGGGTTTTGTTTAAAATGTCCTGCTTCTTGAGTTTACCAAGCTCAGCAACACATAAGAGCTGAGGGTGTAGCTCAGTGGTAGAGTGTGTGCTCAGTATATGCAAGGCTCTGAGTTTACTTGAATTTAATCCTCAGCAGGAGAGAGGAGGAGGGATGGAAGGAAGAAGGCAAGGAGAGGAGGAGGAGGAGGAGGAGAAAAGAAGTCTCTTGTACGGGTAAATAACTTTGGATTTACAGCTTGCAGTCGCTACTCCAGAAGATGACTCATCATCTATCATGTGGCAAGAGTTGTTACTACAGACATGGTGACATGATTAAGGGCATTAAATTAACTAGTACATGATGTAGAATACATATCGGATGACATTAATCAATAGACTGTGTATCCTAGTAATTTTTTTTTGAAAGATGGGGTTTTATTAAGAGCCTATGATGGGGGCCGGGGATTTAGCTCAGTAGTTCCACCACCTGCCTCAAAAGCTAAGGACCTGGGTTCGATTCCCGGTACCAAAGAAAAAAAAAAAAAGAGCCTATGATGGCATTAAACTCCTGGGCACAAGTGATCTCTCTGCCTCAGCCTTTCAAATAGCTGGAGCTAAAAGCATATACACTGTGCCTGGCTAGATTTTCATTATTACTTTTATTTTTTAATTTTTTTAATTTCTTCTGTTAACGGGGATTGAACTCAGGACCTTGGACTTGAGAGGCAGGTGCGGCACCACTGAGCTAAATCCACGGCCCTATATTACTTTTAAATGATACAATACTCCTACACCAACACTCCTTGCGTACTACTGACTCATGAGGACATGACTGAGGAGATCCTATATAGGAAATTCTCAATGATTTCCATTAATATTGTGAAAATTAATCTATACAAACACAAAAATTGTTAGAAATAATTAAATACATGGTTATGGAAGGTTCTTTTGACTTATATATAGTTACAAAAAATACTTGTGAGTTCAGAGATGTAAAAATAAAGAAGTGTTTTGTCTGAGTAGCAATCTGTAGATCTCTACTTAGTTTTTCCATCAACTCTTGAAGCTCTAAGAGTCTTGGCACCCACTCTCAAGTTTATGCTAAATACTTGTCTGAACAAAACTACTCTGTCTCCTAATTTTCCTTATTATTTGTACCTTGCTTTGGTTAGAGAATGAATACAGCTGCTTTGTGAAAACATACTGTTTGGTTGTTGGTTGCTTAGGAAGAATAACACACAAAGCCAATTCTACCACCAAATGATTTCTACAAAGTAAGAACTATGGTATTATAAAATCATGCAGAGGTCCTCCGGGTTGAATTCTCTGGGCTTCTTTATTACTTTCTTTATGCTGTTTTTTTGATTGCTGTGATTCACACAACATGGTGTACAATTCCTTAACAGAAACACATTCCAATATTCATCTTCTTCTTACTTATTAAGTTTGTCTTACCGAATTCTGTGGATGGTGACAGATTTTTAGTCACTGATCGTGTTGTAAGTGGTTATTTGTCATCATCTTTCAAATTTGCCGATCTCTGACAAGTCTTATCAGAGAGGTTCAAACTCGTAGAACTCCAATCAGAAAAATCTGAAAATAAAGTTTTATTCATTAAGATGTAAATGATAATAAAAATGTAACTAACTTGTATACATTCCTTCCTCAGAAGCACTTCCAGCCCCACAACACACTACTGCCTAGGGCTTATTGCACTTTGCAGGTCCCGTGAGTTTGATCATCATCGTCATGTCTTATTCTTCTGTTTTCATTTATTAGTATTACTTGGATGTATCCAGCAATCTTTTATATACTTTGTTTCCTGTATTGTTCACGGTTAAGTCTTTAAGGATATGAATTTTAAATTAAAAACTGTCTACTTCAAATATAAATATCCATAATATTCTTTGTACATTTTATAGACATTTAATGAATATGCTACTTTAGATTTTTAAAAAACTACAATAAGATATTCTTACTTCAATATCCCAATATCTTCAGAATTCACTTTTTAAGGCTTGGGTGATACCATAATTTATACAAAAAATGGTAGCTTTAAGTAACCCAATTGTTCCCATGTAAAAACTGCGTTAGCCTAGGTCAGTGGCGGTGAGCCCATGGCACATGTGTTGCAGTGGGCTGTTTGCTATCATTGAAAGCTCTAAAAGGTTCACCATCATTGGTCTAGGTCCACATTAAATTCAAAGATTACAGAGTGCCAGGAGACAGGAAATGAAAGTGTAACAAAAATATTTGCTTTTTCCTTTATAAATAAAATCATCAGATTTACACTTTTTAAGAAAAATGAAAGAAAAAGGAAGTATAAAGGCTAACAGTCAGTTATGGCTTTCATGAACCTTGTCTGTTGTTTAAATGGTAGTTTAACAGTGAGTTAAAATCCCTAGAATTCAAGATCCATTCACAGGGTCTAAGAGAACAAACAATACCAAATGTTGTTTGCCAGTGGTGTTTTCAGAGATGTAATGTGTCACATGTCTGAATTCTAATGATTAGTGAGTCATAGCTCTAATGGGTATTGGAATGTGTGACTGCAGGCTTGTATTTTACCTCCTTCAGATTTAATTTCTAGTAGAGTAAATGTCAATAGATCCAACGTATTTAAACAAAAGCTCTGTCAAATCTGTACTAATTTTTAATACCATAAAAGGACTTACGGCTAAAAAGTTGCAGAATCACTGTTTTGAAGTTTGTCTACCAAATAGTCATTAAGAAATGATATTCTTTTAATAATCAAAGATATGAGATACCATCCATACATACTCATACAGTCTGTTAATGAGAACATCTATCTGCTTACGATCATCAGTATATCGAGACTGAGATGAAATAATTACAGTGGAAACACAGTTGACATGTTAGGAAGCAAAGCTTTACTCTAGGTAAATGTCAGAATTACAGCAAGCATTGTTTTTTGTTGTTGTTGTTGTTTTAGAAAGGGGATCCTGGGTATCAGTGAACCTCTTGCCACAAACTCCTGAGTAACCAGGACTCAGGCCTGCACCACAGGGCCCAGCTCTCCAGTGAGCATCTGCCAACTTTGAAAACATCTTGGGGGCTGGGGATTTAGCTCAGTGGTTCCGGTGCCTGCCTCACAAGTGCAAGGTCCTGAGTTCAATCTCTGGTACCAAGAAAAATAAAGAAAACATTTTGGAATCTTGTAAAAACTCAGTGGATGCCTGAACAAGTGTAAGGATCCAAGCTGGGGACATTAGGGTATTAAGTAGAAACACCTTAACACATTACATTTTTTTCCTCTTATGCTTGCAAACACCTTATTTGCAAATATGGACACCAACAATCATATCTGCATTATCTATGTCAAATCCTTTTAAAAACTCGGGAAAAGAATATGAGAAGACTGCGGGCATCTCAAAACATTTTAATGTACCTTACTTCTTTCCAGAGTAATCTGAATTGCAAAATTTACCTGATTTGCATGTCTGTAAATCCTCCACTGCTACTGCTTTATTCAGAACAGAATCTTTCATTTCAATGGTGGGCTGAATGGGGTTTGAAGTGAGATATTTAATAAATACTATGTATTTCATGAGGTGTATGTGGTTAATTCAAGATACAAATATAAAGTTATTACCTTCAGGTGAAGACATTTCTCAGGTGATTCTAAAAAGCAAAAGGAAAACATAATCAATTACATGTAAACATGAGAAAGCCAAACACACATTCATGCAGAGTTAGCATGGAGCTGAATCCTCATGCTCTGCTTTGGAAATGATTACTTTAGGTTTTGGGTTTTCTTCCCCTTTGATTAGGACAATACGATGGGAAAATCAGAATACAGGTCTAATAAGACAGGCAGTTAAGATTTCCAAAGTGAGATTATGCTTCCAAAGGCCATAACTGAAATAGAAAAGTCAGCATCTATCCATACACACATACATGCCGAGTGATGGAGAAAGTGATCTCAGCAAGCCACGACCCCGACAGGATGAATGTCAAAGCTGATGGTATACCATTATACTACAAGTATTTCATTGTGTTCTTCAATCTGTCCTGACATTGTCAGAATTTGTCCTGGATTTGTCAAAATATACAAAGTTGTGGTAACATTTCAGTAGAATATATCATTTATTTCTTATCAAATAAGGTTTTGAATTGATTAGCTTGGACATATACTTGTAGAATAATAGTTCATAAAAATGTTCATTTTTTCCATACTTTTGTGGGCTACTGGTATGCCTACATTTCCTGTATCCTCCAGTTTAGCCATCTTAAAGTTTCTTGATCCACTTATGCAAGAAGATATATAAATCACATCTAAGAAATAATGCACAGTAAGTTTTCCATATTGAAATATGGTTATCAAAAAGGGAAAGATAAGCTGAATTGTCATAGAATTATTTGATACTAATAACCTTTTATATTTCAAAATCAGTGTAATATTAACTAAAAAGTAACAATTTTGGTATTCAAGGAATGAACTCTATAATGTCTCTTGTTTCCAAAACTGGTTTGGTACATTCTGCTAGTCTTTAAAGGATTTGTATGAATATCCTTTATTGTATCAAAATGCTATTGTATCAAAAAAGTAGTTATCTTAAAAAAAGGCAATGATTCTCTATGCAGGTTAATCTCACTTGAATAACCAATTATCAATTCAACCTAAAGCTTTGATGCCTGATGGTTACGTACAGAGAGGAGGTGAGGGGCTACAGTTCAACCCAATTCTAGCACTCCTCCCTTCTCCTAATCATCTCTGGAACAGCAACAATCTACTCTTCCACTTGCGTGCACATACACTGAGACCATGGGAAGTGAGTTCTCTCAAGTTTCCCCATCATTAACTCCAAAATTACCTGTCTACTTTCCCTCTTTCATCTCTTTTTCCCCCTAAACAATCCCTCTAACTTTCAAAAGTGACCTCTAGGTCTACGGTATTGATTCTGTCCATTTACTTCTTTTTATGGATTATTCTTACTACTTATTTCTTTCTTTGGCAGTGGTATCATAGAATTGTAATTTCTATTTCTTCATCCTCTTTGCTCCTTCTCCTGTGGCTGGAAACATTTTCAGAAATAAAAACAAAATTTATGCTTTCCCTTGGCCCTGTTTTGTCTTGAACTATCATCCAATGGCTCTTTGTCCAGCTTTCTCTAAAGGGAAGCTGATACCCGGACACTCCCAGGGGTCTGAGGACAAGAAGCGTTGGCGTCACCTGAGGACTTAACACAGGATCCCAGACCTGCTGAATCACAGGTATGGTTTAACACAGTCCCCATTGCGGGGTGTCATTGCAGGTGAAAAGCTCTAGCCTATACACCAAGTCTCTTCTAAATCCCCTTACCGAAACTTACCTTTCGGAATCTAGCATCAAGTTCCTCATGTCCCACAAACTGAAAAGGCATCAAAAGTCATAAACTTTCTAATGGACTTTTTAATGAGGCTATGATTTTTCTGACCTCTCCATAACAAATCTTGTTCCTTTCTTTTTTTCAAGGCTTATTCTGAATATACTACCTGGTGAAACAGCAACCTTTAAAAGTGGCAACATTTTATATGAAATTCGACAACCAGGACTGGACCTTCATGAACCAAGGGACGACTGAAAACACATGTATGGCTGACCA